TAGGCTGCTGCCTTGAGAACTGTTGATCACACACTAACTGACTGCGACAACTGAACTCGGCAACAGCCACATTTCAACTCTCTCTGGGGACGGCTACAAGTTAACTAACTCCGGCGGCTGTGCAGTTTCCTGTTACGTAATGCGTGCCTTGTCACAGTATGAACCGGTGCCACGTCGCCATGTTTGTGTATAGCCTAGCAACGCTGTTTACTCATGCTGTGTTACATCACCGCGTGTTGCGTGTTATGTCACCGTGGGGAGAGTGGTGNATATAATCTTTATTATATATTGTAATGTGCATTGTTACTGAAGTCGCCGTAGAGATTGTTAACTGGTTTATTCAACAACCTACAAGTAACGGCTACAATTATTTATAACAATGTTGCGGGGTTTCACAATTTGTAACCCTATTTGCACATCAAATCACTCTATTGTCAGTAGTCTACACGTTTTCACAGTACGGGAGCTATACAATTGTCACTGTGTTACACACTCCCAATTAATTCTCAGTTATCACAAACTGTCACTGATTATCACACACTAACTCGTAACTCGCTGCTGGCTAGATTCTAACTCAACTCGTAGGCTGCTGCCTTGAGAACTGTTGATCACACACTAACTGACTGCGACAACTGAACTCGGCAACAGCCACATTTCAACTCTCTCTGGGGACGGCTACAAGTTAACTAACTCCGGCGGCTGTGCAGTTTCCTGTTACGTAATGCGTGCCTTGTCACAGTATGAACCGGTGCCACGTCGCCATGTTTGTGTATAGCCTAGCAACGCTGTTTACTCATGCTGTGTTACATCACCGCGTGTTGCGTGTTATGTCACCGTGGGGAGAGTGGTGGGGATGGAGCGCTGACTCATCCGCCACATCACTGTGGCCAGAGTTGCCACATCACTGCTGGGTAGGGAGGGGTTGTCCTCCATTGCGCAACATACAATATGTTATGAAATTCCAAAGGACTTACCCATTGTTTTTCTTCAACCTTGAATCATGGTGATATTGTAAATATAATCACACTATATACAATAATATTTTGTTCAGGCTGTACGTGAGTTTGAACTACATCACTTCACAGTTTACGATAACTCACTCTCTGACACGCGTGTGCCACTTCTCGACGCAGTCCACCCTACATAGTGCAACGTCACACTTTTTGCAGTAGTACAGTGTGCTTCTGCGCTTCTTATTTGGAGAACAAATACGACGCCTTTGTTTTCCTTTGGTTGGCCAGTGTTGTGAATGTTTCACCTCCAGTCGACTCAGTTGGGCCCCAGATGAACTTGGCCTCCCCCGAGAAACGCCGCTGACCGTGATATTTGCCTCATGCGACTGAAGAATCAAATCCCGCACCAATATTTCGCGGAACTTTTGTGTGTCATTTTTCCACCACATGACTTGTGTAATAGATATGCATTTAGAATAGTCATATCTAGAAGGTGGAAAAAAAAAATTCTTTGTCCACTTCCATGTCGTCCTAGCAATGCCATAACTGCTTACCATCCTGTCAGATTTATCAACAAAGCCCATGTGTGCACTGAAGTCTTCAATTACATGGGGTTTGACAGCATGGCCAGATTCATCTCGGAAGTTGCCTTCCAATGGAGGAGGGTGCAAATTCGTCAGAACGTACACATCACGCTTGTCTTTCCAACAAACAACACTTAGATGCCCCTTGACTCTTGTAACAATATCCCCTTTTTTCAATTTCATTTACTTGGGCTGAATTTCTTGTGACATTCCACGTCTATCATTGCGAATGGTGCCACATGAATTTATTTTCCTGTCTAAAAGATCGTCAAATAAAGCAGGAGGACTGAAATAATTGTCCATGTAAATTTTGTGTCCAAAGCCTTCTACTCTTCGAATTAGCTGGAGAACAATGCCATGTGTCGACGTAATTTCTTCTGTCGCCAGTTGCCTTTGTTTGCCCAAATAAACTTATGTCATAAGTATACCCAAAAAAATCGCAAAGCTTGTAAATTTTTATACCAAATCTTTTGCGTTTTTTTGGAATATCCTGACGAAAGATCACTCTTCCTTTGACCAACACTATGACTTCATCAACAGTAAGACGTTTTGCTGGATTGTAAAGTTCACAAAATTTGTTGTTGAGATTGTCAAAAAATTTTCTAATTTTCCAGAGCCTGTCATACTCTGGGTCATCTCAATTTGGAGGAGCTTCATTATTTTCAAAATGGAGCAATCTCAAAATATGGAAGAAACAGTCTCGTACAATGGTGTTACGGTAGAAAGGTGTGTAGTATTGCTCATCTCATGACCATAATTCTTTGAGGGTGTCCCATTGATCGTGGCCCATTTGAATAGTTATTGCCAAAAAGTTATATATCTCTTCAATTGTAACGTCGGGCAGTTGAACAGAAGGGCCTGGAGCATCTTGGCATGCCATAAATTGGTGGAAATATCTGTTGGTTTCTTGTAACAAGATTTGGAATATTTGTTGGAAAAAGGAGAGGACTGTGCATTTATATTGGGAGCAGCTGATCTGTTGATTCCACTCAGAGGACCAGTGAGGTCTGGTACCTTTGGCGAATCCCCAGGTCTTCTATCATGAAACCTAATTTCAGTTTCCTCTGCCTCATCTGATGATGATGATGATGATGACAACAACATATTTGCTCGAGGTTCAGTGAACTCATTGATATCTTCTAACTCTTCATCAGATTCCTCTTCCATCANTCCATCAATATTTCCTCCAGTTCTTCTGCATCGAGAAGTTTGGAATATCGGGCACGTTTTTGAGGTTCCATCTTGGGGGGGGGGGTCCCAGCAAAATCGAATAAATTATGTTGATTGGCCAAGACTCGCAAAATAGTGATGCGAAGTAACTATAATAGTATGGTACAATAGGCCAGAAGTGGCAGCAGTACAAGGGACTTAGTCCCACCCCACTAGCAATAAAAAATAATAATTGTAATAGTAGTCGAAAAGGTGCCAGTCCGACACTGATACGGAAAGTCACAGTGATGAAGATGCCTTTTACTCACAAAGTAATACTGGCTAAGTGGGTTTATACCTCTTCCGAGACACAAAATAATATAAAAAGAAATATATGAGAGTCTGACACTAACTTTTTAAGTGAAAAAGAAATATTACACAATCCAACACTGACTTCCTAACTGATAATTCACCACTGAAAACCAATCCTTGAATACGTCACACTTCCTTGAAAGCTCTGGAAGCACTGATCTGCAATACCGACGAATATTTCCTCTTCAGTTCTCAGAACAAGGCTGGGCTATATATGGCTGACCAGGTCATAAACAGTCATATATAAACATAAATGTTTTTGAAACCAGGACCGAGATAAACGATTTCTTT